CAGAGCGGCACGTCGCACTGCTTACAGCCATAAATTACATTAGACTTGCGTTGATTTTGCCCATAGAGATATCCAATGGTCAAAATAGCCTTCTTCTTATTAGAAGAACAGAAAGCACACCATCCTCGCTTAGATCTGCGTATCTTTGAGTGCTGAGCCATTATAGGAGGAAGGTATGAAGTACTTACGGGTTGGGGTCTCTTTAGAACAGCGATCCTGCTAAACTTTAGAAAGAATTCTCTATATAAAATACGTCTAAAATCAAGGTGGCTTTCCCTGTTGCCTTCTTGTCGCCGCCAGAGTTGCCATGAATTTGTTATGGAAACCTCTAGTAAGAAAAGGAACGCGATTGCCCGCCAGCCTCCACGCCTTGTTCGTCGATCCCAGTTATACGATGATCTTAGCTGGTCACCAATGTCAAAGCCTCCCATAAAATGATTATCATCATCAATAAACTGTGTGAATAGGGAGCGCTTTAGTGAACTCGCCCTCAAACGGTACCCTTGCGGTCTTTGCAGAGCTTGAGGTCTTTGATGGACAGTGCCGTAAACAGTGTTCCATATAGGCGGTCCGTCCAGTCCAGAGACCTCAAACTGGACCGCCTATCGAGTTGTAGACCGTGGACTGGACCGCCTAGCAGTCCATGTCACGAAACCAACGTTAATGCTTGTCAAGGGTATCACGTGCACACGCACGTGATACTTCTTTCTTATTTCTGTTGTGAGGGAGCTGCTTTTTTAACGTTTCTCTTGCTTCCTTACGCTACGTCTTGTATACCAAATCTAGTGTAGACTTAGCCCAACGATACAATTTACTTGAATACTTTGCCTAAGCCCCCCTTAACGTGAAACCCTCACATTACGTAGCGCTAACCCAGATAATAATGCGAAACACAACGATACTATTAACAACGACATAATAGACAAACGATACAACAGAAAACGATATAATAGACAACAATACAGCAGACAACGATACAACAGATAACGATACAACAAGACGATAATACTAAAGACAAGCATATAACGCCTTAAAACATAACTGGAAACGCAGATATTAAAGACACACGCGGACGTTAGCAACGCTAATAGAGCAGTGAGATCCGCATACCCATGGACCTTATACTTATTAAAGACGAACCGTCTAATAGCGGCGAGTATAAACCTAGCAACGAAGATAATCGCGTTTCGCAGATAAAAGCTAAAGCTGCCTTGCCTTAAGGAGCGCAGACAATTGACGCCTTTAATTACGTGAGGCGCGATTACCCACTACGCCTACTCTGGAAGTAATGCACTTTAAGTAACTTAGGCCAACTATATAGTTTAAGAAACTATCGCAACTTTTAGTGGGACGTTCTCCTCGCGATAAATAAGCGAGCTAAAACGAATATAAACTAAGAGGCTAACTAGGCTATCTAAGAGGAAGTAATTCAATTAGCGGAGGAGAATCGTAAGTTATAAAGAGAAAAGGACCGTGCGATCGTAGATAAAACCTTCGCAGAGAGAAAGGCAAATAAACTAAATAAGAAGCTAGAGTTAGCATAAAAAGGGAGGGAGTAAGACTAAACGATTATCGCCTACCTTAATTCCCAGCTACGAGCCACTCGTGTACGGTCCTAAAACGACGAGGACTAAGAGAGCCTGCAATAATGAGATGAATTCGCGAGCATTTAAGACGAGATAGCTAGAAGGATAGTGCCTTAGTTCACAATTACGAGCTTAAAACTATATAATAACCCTAAGTTCTTAAATACCCCAGTTTTCTCCGGAGACCATCGTGCTCTTAAGGCCTAAAAAGATAAGATTCGTGATAAGCTTAATAATAGTGCGGCTTAGTATCCGACTAAGCAACAACGAATTCAGTACATTTAAAGTAAAACTAAAGGCAGCGCTTATAAACAGATACGAGCCTAAAGTTAACCAGAACACCCCCGGTCATTTCTAACAGCTAAGGAAATACTATAAGCTCTTAAAAAGATTTACGGTGACAGGACTAAGAGAATATAAGCTATTAACGAGTTACGCACCCTCCATATAAGGAGAAAGATATTCGATAACTTTTATGCGGACTTTACGCGCTATACTACCAAAATTAGTTATGCTAATTACCTGTTTCCCTGAACCAGGTTAAGATAGACCCAAACGACCAGGGAGTCCCGAAACCTATTAAAGACCTGATATTAATTGCCTACGAGAACGATACTATTTTCTTGAAGATATTAGAAGCGTTAAAGAATAGCGATAGCATTGATCCGCCGGAATTAAAGGAGATGAAACTCCCACGGCCTCTGCTCTCCGAGAAGGATCAGAGATTGTATTTCAAAGATAGACTATACGTCCCTGAGACATATGTGTGTACATGTTGTACGACATGCTTGAGGAGCGAGTCAAAGTTGGGTTCCATGACCAAGTTACCCACCTACATCCTGCGTCTGAAGTCTCAAAGACTGAACCAGCCAGCGAGGTCCGTAGCGGGTCGCATATGCATCATCAGCGGGATGAAATGAGCATGAGCACCGGAGAAATTGGGGTCTACGATACTAGAAACGCTTGCTCTGAGGGCATGAGCCAAAGGAAGCACATGTTGACCCTGTTGAATTGCCATACCCATCGCGTGGGGGGTGCTCTATCCCATGGCCATCTCTATATTGAGCAGCAAGAATTAACATCTGCTTCTCATTTCCTAGGGTATACCACATGGAGTCCTCTCAACCCCTACCCATTCGAGGGTAATGGACTAAGTCCCTTTCTGAGTGACTTCATGGTCGTCTTCGGTCTGAGACGCTGTATTTTTGTTCTTTGGCAGTCATTTCGGATAGCTGTTCAAGTTTCTTGTCTCTTCCCACGCGTTGCATTGATTCTAGCTCTTTCATTACGCTCCTTTCTATTGATTCTTTTCTAGCGGCGACAATGAAAACCGGCCCTTGGATAAGGACATCGGGAAACTTCATTGTTATGAAGCGGCAAGGGGGAAAAGGTTCACCAAACTATGGCGCTTAAAACAAGTCTCTCCCTCCAATGCCTGATTAAAGCCTGTGCGATTGCATGGTAAAGTCTCGGAACTGTGTGCCAAAGAAGAACATTTGATCGGAAAAGTATGGCGATATTTTTTGATACGTCTGCAAGTGGCTACAACCGCC